ACAAGACAAATGAACAGAAGGAAGAGACAAACACAGGAGAGGGCACCGGAATCAGTGACCCACTCATTTGCACACTCAGGAATCTCATAAAAACACTAAACTTGAAGCCATAATATATACACAGAAAACATATTACAGACCTGTGCAGGTCCTGTGCATGCTTCAGCTTTTCTTTTTTTTTACATAATCCTGGACTACTGCCCAACAGTGGCACTGCCCAAAGTGAGCTGGGCCCTCCTATATTAATCATAAATCAAGAAAATGGCCCACAGGCCAATCTGGTGTGGAATATTTTTTCTGTTGGGGGTCCTTCTCAACTGTACCAAATTGATAAAAACTAACCAAGTCAATGAATAAGCTTGGAAGTACTGGATTCTTTAAGAAATGAAGGGAGTGATTTAGACAAATATTTCCTAGAGTGTGGGCCCCAGTCTCTAAACATCACCTGGAAACATGTTGGACACAGAAATCTTCAGGTCCCATTTCAGACCTAGTCCATCAGCAACTAAATGTGCCACTTCTGCATCCTATACCCTAACTAGTCAAGTCCCCTCAAGTGACTCTGCTGAACACACATCTTCGAGACCACTAAGTCAAAACAGTGCTGATGAACCAGTAATGTGCACATGAATCACCAAAGAATTTGTTAAAATGCATATTCTCATCCCGCAGGACCAGAGTACGGGGTGAAGCAGTATTTTTCCCACAAACTTCCAGATGATGCTGATATAGCTGGTCCTTGGACCACGCTTTGGGTACAAGGAATAGGGTTAGCTTTCTCCCCAGTAGCAAGACTCAAGTATGTGGTCTGTGGGTTTTATTCTTCACACACTGCCTGGGTTATGAGAAAGACAGACACATTCCTGCATTTAACCATAAAACTGGTTAAAAGAAAAAGGTCCAAATTCAACCTTAAAGTTCAGCGATAAGAAAGAATGCAGTGAAATGCCAAAAGACAAGATGTGCAGTTATTTCGAATAGACTCCTTGGTTGAGTTCAGCACTGCCCTTAAAACAATGTTGTTCCTGCAAAGACTTCATTTCCAGAGACTTAGGGCCTTCCTGTGTCTTTTCCTTATGAGTGACTCTGTTAGTCCATCTTCTCTATGAAAATAGCACGTCTCACCAGCTAATTGCCTCTACTGAAACAATCCTTGAGACAAAGAACATGCAGTTCCAAGCTCAAGTTCATCACTTACTTTGATACAGAAGAATAAGAGAAACAAAGTGACAGTCTGTCACTAACAGTGATTCCTGGGCCTGGAGACAAATGTGCTTAGTTTGGTGTGCCCCTGTTTGACGTTTTCTTCTCATTGCCATATATACCAAATATAGCCAAGAAAAGCCTTTTTCCATTAGAGATCTAAGTGGAGGTTTTAGGGTACAGCCTGAGCCCCAGTAGCCCCAACAAACTAAGCTTTGCTACTGCCCCCAATACACAAATTGAAGAGATGGGTAATTGGGAAGAGGAACAAATAAAGGGGTCCAGTGACCCCATGTCTATTTTAGGGGCACTAACCTGAGCTTTGTTTAAAGAGAGGAAGAATTGAGGAACAATGAAGATGCTTGTATAATTAAGCATTCCTGTCCAAGATGTGGTCTGGTTGATCATGCTCAGGTCTGGCTGTGTAAGGTGTTCCAAAGAAGTCCCCCACACTGTTATCTTTGAAGGGGTCAGTCTGGTTCCTAGAAGATGATCACTTCTGCTCCAGAGTGGGTGTGGTCTTGCTATCATCTCTGGAGAATGGGGAGGCTGTCTGCCCTGTAGAGTCCCGCTATTGCAGGATCTAAGGTGGTTCCAATACAAATGTTTAGGACAATGACTCATCTCTGTGTCTTCAGCCAAAGAAAAAGAGGTAGATAAAAGCAAATCACTGGTTCTAGGCTTTCATACTGTTCTAGGTCCAAGTGTGGAGTCATTGCTTTTTAGCAAGAGCAATTTTTGAATGCCTGTTTCAAGCATGACTTGAAGCCCTCTCACTTGAGCCTAGTATAGAGTTTTCTTTCGAGACTCACTGTGCCTCTAAGATTTTACTTCTTTTGTAAAGCCAGATGCTTTGAGTACTAAAATTTTGCTTTTACAGTGAACTTCCTCTCCTGCAGATCACTTTTCATCTCACATTTTCTTATTGCTTTTATGGCTGCCCACTGTTTTGAGTCTGCTGATAATTCCAGGAAAAGGGAGACATTCTTTGGTTTATATTTGGGTAGGTTTTCAGTGTGAAAACATAGCTGACCCAGTATGTTATGTTGAGGCCTTAAAACCTGAGATAAAGGAATGATAGGTGGTTTGGGGACTGCCAGTCCAGACAGTACCTGTTGTCTACCCAAGAGAAGATTCTTGGTCCATTTCTGCAGAGTGGTAAGTGGTCATTAAACAGGCATAATTAATTTTTCTATTGTTTTAATAAAGTATCTTAAGCATACCTGAAAGACACTTTTTTTACTAAAAGACATTTAGTGAGTATTTTAAAATTATTTTCCCTGGATAATATTTTATGTATTTATAAATATTTTAAGATAATGTGCAAAATAAAGTTTTTTATTCTGGCATTTTCATATATGTATTTGTACATGTAAATGGTGTATATGTATATACAAATCATATTATAGTGTTATACTTCGGTTTTATTTATCTCCAACTCTCAGTGCCTTACCCGTTCTCTCTGCCACTGTTGTAGCATGGCTTTTTGCTGTAGCAGAACATGATGGTCCTATCTTGTCCTTGTAATAGAAATAAAATTGTCCTGGTAACCATGACAACAGAACAAATACCACCGCATGGCAACTGGGTCTATGGCAATGATAGTGGGCTTTGTAATAGTATTATAAACTTGACAGTATTGAGAATCAACTAAAAGACAATGGTGATGTCTGTAGGCATGTCTGTGAGAGTCTCTATATTAGGTAAATTGAGGTGGGAAAATCTACCCCAAATGTGGATGGCATCATTCCATGCACTGAAGTCCTTGAACAGTGGTTCTCAACCTTCCTATTGCTTTGACCTTTAATACAGTTCCTGATGTTGTGGTGACACCCTATCCATAAAATTATTTTCATTGCTGTTTTGTAACTGTAATTTTGCTACTCTTAATGAATTACAATGTAAATAGCTTAGGAAATAGAGGTTTGCTGAAGGGGTAGTGACCCACAGGTTGAGAACCGTTATCCCAGAATGCATAAAAGGAAAAAGCCATCCAAGAAGTAACATGCTTCACCTTTGGCTTCCTGGCTTCGGATGAAATGCATCCAGTGCCTCAGTCATCCTATCATGTCTTCCTGCCATAATGCACTGTACTCGCAATCTGTGAGCCAAAAGAAACCATTCCATATGTTTTGTCATAGAAACCTGAAAAGTAAATGATATAGGACTATTGACATTTCCTAGTCCAAGAAGGGCATAACAGTCACAGGACCCTCACTAGGGATTCCAACTTTATACTACCCTGCTGTCCCCTTGCTACAAGTCATCTTGGGTGATGCTAGAGTATAGGTGAAGTAGGCAGTTAACAGAAAGTAAATTTCATGATGTAGCTTCACTCATGTCCTTACTTGTAATGAGGTGACATTTTATGATAACATAGCAATTTGGGGGTCTCCCATGATCCTGTAAGTAACCCTTCACTTATGCACTAGTAAGTAAACCAAATAATCACATTGGTTCACCCAACTCAACTTGGGATGAAATTGTTACTTTGGCCTATCTGTCAGTGCCTGGGGTAATATGCATTTACTAAAATCTTTTCAGGAAGAAAGTAACATGATGATGGAAGACCCATTTCATCCCCTTAGATAACATTTTTGTATCTGATTACTTACAGCAGTAGTCATATGATGTTTCAAGTGAACTATGTGCAAGCACTGAATAATATTTTCTTGTCTGGATAACTAATAATGTATTTCTATGCCTATTTATAAAAGGCTTTCTTGTCTACTTCTGACTTTGGCAATTATGAGAATATTCGATAAACAGCTGTGAAAAAGGTGACCCCACTTGAAGTGTCTGCTGGTTTTTGTTCACCAAGTTTGTCACATTGACAGTGCGCAATTCCTTTACCATTTTTCACCAGCCTCAAAGTATGTTGTAGCCACTTTTCCCAGATTCCTGCCCATGAATCCTCAGAATAAAATAAAGTTTTGGGTGCAAATTTCAGACTCATAAAAGAGCCAAAAGACTGCAACTTTCAAATTGGATAGAGCATTGATTGCCTGACACTGACCGTAAATGGAGCAGTAGTAACTTTTTGTCTTAGATTATTTGAATTATTTAGTGAGAAACGTTGGACACAATTCTTTCTTGCAGGGATCTGAATGTCAGCTTGTATGAGGAAAGCCATCATGATTGGTTTCTAATCAGAGATCTATTTCTATCCATCTTGTTCCAAAGCTTCCCTGGTTGGCCCCTCACCAGATTCTCATCATAGCTATTACATTAATTTTTCCTCCTTCCTTCCATTCAAAGTCATTCTCAGTGTAAGGCTGAAACTTACTTTTGGCTTTGTGTCCTGCCAGTATGCATTTAGTCATCGATGGCGAGTCTTTGTTCTGACTTCATTCTTTGGATGATGATTTGGCTTTCTACAAATGGGCTACAGAGAATTTGTGTATTGCTCTTCACAGAGCACATTATAAATAAACATGTGATCATCCTGGTGTTATATAATCATGGCAGCTTTAGTTGATGGCACTGAAACTTTCCACTACAGTTCTACCCAGTGTGTCAAACATGTGAGGCTGAGCTTATGGAGGTTCTGATTAGATCCTGGGCCATTTTGATTGCCCAAAATTGTGACTATTACCCTCAGATGGAGGTGTATATGCAGGAAGTTTTCTGGTATCAGTACCTATAAGAGGGATAGAGTTGAAGTGCAAACAACTTTGTGACAGAGGTCACAGTCAATTTGCATAGGGGTCACATCTTTAGAATCCAGAGAGGACATACATACATACATACATACATACATACATACATACATACACACATACCTCATACATACATACCTCATTGATCTGGGAAACATCCTTGGCAAGAGGACAGCAAGAGCAAGTGACCATCAGGCAATACTCCCAGTAGCTATGAATAGAAATGATGCATTTTACTGAAGGATGTTTTGAGAGGCATTTTTGACAACTTCTGTGCACCCGGAAGAGGTCCTTACCAGGAAGCACAGAGCATATGTTTCACTTATTTGTATCTCTCTGTGCTTTCTTTGTTATATTCATTTGGGGTGTGTGTGTGTGTGTGTGTGTGTGTGTGTGTGTGTGCGCGTGCGCATGTGCATGTGCACGCGAATGCACACTTGCACTTACACATCACTGAATTGCACATGTGAAGATCAGATTACAACTTTCTGAAGTTCCTTCTCTCTATAGCGTGGATTCCAGGGATAAGATTAAGGTTGTCAGGCTTGGTGGAAAGTGTCTTAACCTCCTGAGCCATTTTGCCATCCCTACAACTTTGGGCGGTTTTCGTTGTTGTTGTTGTTGTTTTGATTTTTAGGGATGGAGAATAAGCTCTTTCTTCTTTTGGTGTGTATCTTAGTTAAGGTTTCTATTGCTGTGAAGAGATACCATGACCACAGCAACTCTTATAAAGGAAAATACTTAATTGGGATGGCTTGCTTATAGTTCAGAGGTTTAGTCCATTATCATCTTGGTGTGATATGGCCATGTGCAGGCAGACATGGTGCTGGAGTAGCTAAGAGTCTTACATCTTGCAGGCAACAGGAAGTGGTCAGTCTCACTGGGCATGGCTCCACTCCTTTGAGGGTTATTTTCTTTCATACCACCACATTCCACTCCCTGCCACCAAAGGCTTGTAGCCAAGTCATAATGCAAAAATACATTCAGTCCAATGTCAAAAGTCCTATAGTCTGTCACAGTCTCAAACTTAAGTCTAAAGTTCAAAGTCTCTTCTGAGATTATGCAAACTCTTTAGTGTAATCCCCTCTAAAATCAAAGTAAAAAAAAAGGTCACATACTTTCAACATATAGTGGCACAAGATATACATTACCATTCCAAAAGGTCAGGAAGGGAGCATAGTGAGAAAATACTGGACCAAAGCAAAACTGGAAAACAGTTGAGCAAACTTCAAACTCCTCATTTCCATGTCTGATGTTAAAACTCTCTTCAGATTTCTAACTCCTCAGGTTTGTTGACTGCAACACACTTCTTTCTCTTGGGCTGGTTCCACTCCCTGTTAGCATCTCTCTTCAGCAGGTATCCCATGGATCTAGCGTCTCCAACATCTTGGACTCTCCAAGGCAATCCAGGCTTCAACTTCACAGCTTCATGAAATGGCCTCTTTAGGCCTCCATGCAGTGAAACCCCTGACACATGCCTGGCCTCAGCAGCGTTCCTTAGTCTTAGAGGAAGGTTCCATAATGCCTTTCTCCTATCCTTGTCTCTAAAGCCAGAACCACATGGCCAAAGCTGCCAAGTTCTGCTGCTTGCTGCAGCTGGAACATGGCCCCTCTCATTTAATTACATCTTCACCCACTTTCTGTCCTTTGCTGCCTAAGCATTGCTGTCCTGAAACTAGATTTGTAGATTAGGTTGACCTCACACTCAGTGACCATCCAGCCTCTGCGTTCTGAGTGCTAGGGTTAAAAGTGTGTCCCACCGCAAACAGCTCTAAGCTTTTCTTTAATTTCTTTTTACAAATTGGAAACTTAGCTGTGTAGGATCTTGCCCTGAGGTCACCACTCCTTTTATTCCATTTCTTAATCCATTTATCTCCTTGAACACAGGACTTAGATTCATTTCAATTCCTGCTGCTCCCTTTCTCCTTAAATATTATATTTTATAATTTACCCTGCTCTGCTTGCTCCTTTTCATTATAAATCTTCATTAGAGTTACCACTAATAGTCATATCACAGAGTCTATACTAGGTTGTTTTGATATTTATTCTGCAAATGGAATTAATCTAAAACTGTTTAAATTTGCCTCAGAAAGACTCTTCAGACAAGGGCAAAAGGCAGCCACATTCTTCACCAAAATATCACAAAAACGATCTCTAGGATACATACTAATATTCTTCTCTGAAACCTCTTGAAACTGTCCCTGCCCCCACCCCCACCCCCGACACAGTTCATCAAGTCACATTAACACCATTGTCTTCCATGCTCCTCATAGAATAGCCCATTAAGCAGCACTTAAAGAGTTCAACTACTTTTCTAATTCAGGCCCAAGGTCCATAGTCCTTCAAACAAAAACATGGTCAGGCCTATCACAACAGTTCTCTAGCTCCTTTTTACCAACTTCTGTCTTAGTTAGGATTTCTATTGTTGTGAAAAGAAACCTTGACCATGGCAACTCTTATAAAGGAAAACATTTAATTTGGGGTCGCTTACAGTTCAGAGGTTCAGTCTATTATCATCATGGTGGGACATGTGGTATGCAGGCAGACATGGTATTGAAAAAGTAACTGGGAGTCCTACATCTTGCAGGCAACAGGAATCAGTCTGTCTCACTGGACATGGCTTGAGCATGCATATATGACACCTCAAAGCCTGCCTCCACAATGACACACTTCCTCCACCAAGGCAATACCTCCTCCAACAAAGCCACACCTCCCAATAGTGCCATTACCTTTTAGAGGCCATTTTTTCCAAACACCACAGTGTGTACTAACTGTGCATTTCCAAACATGCATACAAGTTGTGTGATTATACCATCAGAACACAAACTTTATCTCTTAATTTTTGAATCCATACCCAGCACAGTATCTGGCATGAGAAATCAGAAGCCCTAGATTCAGGCTTCAGCACCACAGAAAAACAAGCATGATGGCACATACCTGTAATTCTACTGCTGAGGAGGTAGAAGCTAAAGGATCAAAAGTTCAAGGTCATTCTCAACAACATAGCAAGTTTGAGTCCAGCCAGGAGTACATGAGACCTTGCTTCAAAACCAAATTAGATAGGTCCAGCAAGATGGCTTCATGGATTAGTTTACCCTGCAAACCTGAGGACCTCTGACCTCTACAATTTTGTGTGATGCACTTGTACTCGATACATCACACACAATGATAATTGAAATTATAAGAAACAAAATATTCATAATTTTTATATATAATTTTAAAATTTGAATTAGAATTAGAAACAATCTTGTTTTACATGTCAATCCCAGTTCCCTCTCCTTCCCCTCCTTCCTTGCCCTCCCCCGACCCCCTCTTTCATCCCCTTTCTGCTCCCCAGGGAGGGTGAGGCCTTCCATGGGACTCTTCAAAATCTGTCATATCATTTGGAGCAGGGCCTAGACCCTCCTCCCCTGTGTGTCTAGGCTAAGAGAGTATCCCTCTATGTGGAATGGGCTCCCAAAGTCCATTCATACACTAGGGATAAATACTGATCCACTACCAGAGGCCCCATAGACTGCCCAGACCTCCTAACTGACACCCATGTTCAATGGGTCTGGGTTGGTCCTATGCTGGTTTCCCAACTATCAGTCTGGGGTTCATGAGCTCCTCCTGTTCAGGTCAGCTGTTTCTGTGGGTTTCTCCAGCCTGGTCTTGACCCCTTTGCTCATCACTCCTCCCTCTCTGCAACTGGATTCCAGGATCTTGGCTCAGTGCTTAGCTCTGGGTGTCTGCTTCCTCTTCCATCAGCTACAGGATGAAGGCTCTAGGATGGCATACAAGGTAGTCATCAATCTCATTATAGGAGAAGGGCATTTAAGGTAGCCTCTCCACTATTGCTTAGATTCTTAGTTGAGGTCATCCTTGTAGATCTCTGGAAATTTCTCTAGTAACAGATTTCTCTTTAAACCTATAATGGCTCCTTCTATTATGGTATCTCTTTTCTTGCTCTCCTGTATTTTTCCTCCAACTCAAACTTCCTGCTCCCTCATGTCCTCCTCTCCCCTCCTCTTCTCCCCTTCTCTTTCTCTTAATTCCTTTTCATTTCCCCCCATGATCCCAATTTGCTCAGGAGATCTTGTCCTTTTCCCCTTCTCTGAGGAATCATGTATGTCTCTCTTAGGGTCCTCCTTGCTTCCTGGCTTTTCTGGTGGTATGGATTGTAGGCTGGTAATCCTTTGCTCTATGTCTAATATCCATATATGAGTGAGTACATACCATGTTTGTCCTTTTGTTACCTAACTCAGGATGGTTTCTTCTAGTTAATATTTACAATTTTAAGTGATGTTTTTATTATGGTTAAATGTAGCTTCTTTATTTTCTCCTAGTGACCAATAATGTGTATATTTCTAAGATGTAATATATTTCTAAGATCTTGCATTTAATGTTGTTTAATTTTAATTGCTTGTTTTCCATCTAAAACACTATCTAGTCAAACTCTTGACTATGATGGAAAAATTCAACACTGTCTAGTATAGACCTCATTATGCTCTGATTTGCCTTGATGGCTGGATGCCCTGGTACCAAGAACATAGGCCCTGGGCTGACAACATGATCAGGAAAGCAAGATCTGTTCATTCAGGTGCTATGACAGATGTGACTTCTCGTGGGGAAAGTCAAACATTGGTCCTGCAGCAGGAGGGATATTTACACTAACTCCATTGCACATCCATTCTAGAAATTCACTCTAGGTAAGCAGTTTCCTCAATTTGGACTGTTTGGGATTTGCTATGACCCAGGTTAAGTTCTCTGTGGCCTGTCATTTGTGATGTTTACTCAATGAAACCATTGAATAGATTGAGTTTGCTTTCAGTATTTGAGTTAAAGCAAAACAAATTAAGTGGGACTCACTGTCCATCTTATCTTTTTGGCTCAAGAGCATTTTAATTAATTTATTTTTATTTCTATTTCTATTTCTAAAGTCTGTGAATTTAATCCTAGAACTGTTCAGCTATTAAAATAAAATGGAAACTAAGGTAAAATAAAATGTAAACTAAGGTAAACGAAAATTCATTCTCGTCAAGCCATATGCTAGCAACATCATTTAGTCAATTGAAGGGTCTTTCTATTAAGAGAAATTATAAAAAGAAATCAGGTTTTCAATTCAAATCTATCTGTGTATGGTGGTCTCATTTCTATAATCCCAGCATTGTTGGGAGGGAGGGGAAGAAGGAGGATTGGTACCATAAATTCAAGGTCATCCAGAGAGTGCTA